TTTAATTGGAACAAACAATGAACTTAAGTTTGACTTTGTAATACATATTTTTTTTAACACATTGGTAAGCTCAAAATTATATATTCCAATAAAGAAAACATTTTAAATTACTTTTAATACATTCTAACATCTATTTATAATTAGTGACTATTTATATTGATTCTCATCTTTAAAAAAATTATAAATCTCATTGGTGATGAATTATAACTAAACCAACGAAATAAAAAAAATTAGAAAAATTATAATAAATTCATATTGAAATTAAATAGTTGTATATTGAATGAAAATTCTTCATTGAAATTTTGAAGGATTTGTAAAAATCAACAACTAATTAGTTATGAGAGGTCTAATTGCAATTATAAAAAAAATAGGAAGGTTTTAAATTACAATTACTAAAATTACTCAAAGACTGAGTTGCAAATACTAAAAAAAACATTAAGTACTAATTTACCTTTGTTAGAAAATATATAGAGATGAATTTGTAATTTTAAGAAATTTCAGAAAGTTATATACATTATGAAAAGTATTTTCGAAATAAACAGAAAATGTTCAATTTTGTTGTTGAAAGATGTGATTACATCTTCAAGTCTATCATAAACAATAATGAATATTATTTTTTATATTATATACACAAAAAGAAAAGATGTTATGGACAGAGTTAGATATAAATAGTTGAAAGCTAAATATAAAAAGTTTAAATTCTGTATACACATATGAAGTTTTATATAAAAAATTATTTGAAAAATAGTATTTTTATAAACTCCATACTACAAATATTAAATATTGTCACAGGTTATTTTATGAACTTATAATAAAAATGATTTATCTATATAAAAAATATTTTCTCTTCTACATATGATTTTCTTTTATGCTATACACATTTTTTTAAACTAAAATCATCATTTTACTAATTTTATATTTTAAGTTTTTTTTTAGTTTAACTATTTTCTTAAATTTAACTATTTTTTAAAATAAAATAATTATCTATGATAAAATAAAACTACTTATAAAATAAACAAAAATTATACACAATCAAACTACAAATTTATTTATATTTATTTCTGTAATTATAATAATAAAATTAATTATATTTTATCTATATTATTATATAACGAAGATTATTTTTGTTTCAAATTTACCTTTCAAAGTAACATTTTTTTATATTTAACCATTTTTTAAATTTAATAATTTTAAAAAATTAAATAAGTAAAATTTATATACAAAACAAATAAAATAATCTACAAAATAAATAAAATTATTTATAGTTAAATTGTAAAACCCATCTATATTTATTTTTATAATTATAATTTATTCTTTTTTATTACCATAAAAAAAATTAAATACATAATGCATGTATTTTCTATCATAAAAAATACACATACGTTATATATATATATATATATATATATATATATATATATATTTATATTTATATATAGTTATATATCCAATAATATTAATAATAATTTTGTAATTCTTTTGAAAACTGCAAATACCTATCTTACCACATGAATCTAAACAAGTGACGTTCTTCTTCCGATCGAGTTATGAAAACTATCGTATATTAATTTTAATATACAATAAAAACTAGACATACAAAGATAATTTAAAACTAATCAAATCATTAAACTTATATAAAAACAGTTTAACAAGAAGATTTAGAGGTGTTAAGATTATGAAAAAAACAGAATAGTGTTTATAACCCGACCCGTTTACCACAAGAAGTGGATAGTGGCTTCTAGCACACCTATCTTCCTCGCCGTTGGAACCAAAACTATATTTCTGGTGTCATACCCTTCACCCCTTCACATCAAATTTTGAAACTTTGTTTCCAATTGCGTGTACCCAATGTCCTCTTCTCTCTCCCCACCACTTTCTGGGTCCTTCATCCACGATTCTTCGTTCCTCCGTGGAACAAAGCTTTTTCCCCTTTCTCGAAGAGTGGTACCACGCGGCTTCAGCTCTTTCTCTGCTAAGTGCTCCCTCGACCACGTCCCCAAACAGTTCAGAAAGGAAAATCTCGCAGATGGATGTTAGTTTTTATACCTTTCGTTCCTTCTCTTTTGTGTTTGATGATAATTTTCTCTGTTCGATTTAGATTAGGCCAAAGAAAAAAAAACTTGAATGTGTTTTACAGGAAAAGTTAGAGCAGAAAAATTGAAGAAGTTGGGATTTTTAATCTGGTTATGAATTAGTTTAGTATTTTTTATGTGATTTAGAATTGAACTGTCGAGTGAGTATGTGCGATTGGTTACTTACCCCCTTAGAAAGGTTTAAATACTTAAATTAAATCTCACTTTACCTTCCTATTTTTTGTCCAATCTCGTAAAGTTTTCAGGGGCATGAACCACAGGTCCTTAAATTTTGAGACAAAATGAAGGTCATATTTATTTCTCCCCTAAATACCAAATGCATATAGATGTGTCTTTTGAAATTTATTTGTAGAACAGATAGTGAATTATGTGCATAATTTGTAGGAAAATAAAATAAAGAGACACTATGAATTCTTGTAGTATACACTAGGAGAAACAGCCTTGGGCAAAACTATGTGAAGTCTTGGTTGGCTATCAAATTAACAATATGCGTCTCCGTTTTCAGTTTTGACTGGTTTTCACATTCTTGGTGTTTCAAAGTGTTATAGGCAAACATAGGTTTTAAAGGTTGTTTATAAATCATAAAGCTTCAAACTCGTGCTCTTAGATTAATTTGGATGAAATTTTCTGGACAATTTTCCCAAATAAAAAATCTTATTTTTTTTTTTCTCAAGTTCAGTTGAAAGGTTTAAAAATTTGGTGCCCAACCTTTAGTTTTATTTTGTTTATCATATGCAGTGACGCAAAACTACAAGAACGTACCTCAATATCTATATGGCCTTACACCTTCACAAATGGACATGTTCATGACAGGAGATGGTATCAGCCGGCAAACTGCAAGAGTTACAGAGGTTCTCACCATATATATTCTTCATACTGTCTAACTTTCTGTGATGTTATAATAGCAAATATACTAAACTGTAACCTAATTTTGCAAAGCACCCAGATTTTATCACGGCTGATAAGACTATTCAAAACTGCTCTTAATTTTAATCATTGTGACAGGAAAGCATCTCATCTGCCAAGAATTATATAGATAATGGTGGAACGTGGAGTCTATCTGGCACGGGGAAAAATGATGCTTCAAGATACAGTATGAGTGCTAGAATGTATCAAGGAGGTTGGGGAAGTGAAAGGCCACCAACTGCTCCACCAGATCTGCCTTCTTTGCTTTTGGATGCTCGAATATGCTATCTGGGTATGCCGGTAAGCCTCATCCTGACGGCTTGTGTTTTTAGCTCGCCACCTTTCGTATATGGATAAAATACCTCGTATCTTTCACGCCCATCTTTTTTATGTTCCTCTGTAAGTCTCTATAAATTTTTACAGATTGTTCCAGCTGTGACGGAACTTATTGTTGCTCAATTCATGTGGTTGGATTTTGATAACCCAACCAAACCTATTTACTTTTACATTAATTCATCTGGAACTCAGGTAAGTGTTATAACCATTTTCTAACATTTTTCCTTGTGATGTATGAGGTGCTGATTTATATAATTGCTTTTTTTTACCATTTTTTCCTGTTCAGAATGAGAAGCATGAGACAGTGGGATCAGAAACTGACGCATATTCCATAGCTGATATGATTTCTGTAAGTTTTATCATGAATCATGTGCCAATCCTACTGCTCCTGCCCTACCAAGGCTGAGACATGATTTTCCTCTTTGAACTACTCTTTTGTAACTCTTGCTTTTTAATTAATCTTTTTTTTTTGCTTGAAGTATGTCAAAGCAGATGTGTATACTGTGAATTGTGGTATGGCATTTGGTCAGGCAGCAATGCTTCTGTCTCTTGGAACAAAGGGTTATCGTGCGGTACAACCAAACTCATCTAGTACGAATCACATCTTCGCAAACTTTTGAAAAAAATTGCTTTCACTTATTTGTGTTTTTTTTTTGGAACTTCTGACACAACTATAGTATCCGATTAATCAGTATATTTGAAGAATAGACAAGGGGTTACTGATTTATAATTTTCCCATTATCTCTATTGTCATCACATATTACACTTTTTGATCAACTGGCTACTAATATGCTTGTTAAGAAGTATTTTCCGGAATATCAGTTTATCGAACTCTAGTTCTTAGTATCCTTAGGGCATGGATTGTAGACTTACGATCTGTGTGAACTGAAAGCCCAGTACTCTGCATTGAAACTGTTGGGTTGCCATTGTTGTGATTAAAAGAAACCCTAATTTTCAGGGGCCTAATAAAAGAATTTCGATCTTTATGTAATGCTACAATGCTTTGTGCACAAACGTGGCCTACATGTTCATGGAATGAAAGGCTGCAGCCACAGCAGAACGACTTATTAGTCATGTTTCTTTACCATTGTTGTGTGGGCTTTGTATTATTTATTCATCAAGCACAAGTATAACCTATTTTCCTTCATATTTTGACACACTATGGTATTGATTCTGGCCACACATAAAATGTAGTTCAGGAAAACATAGAAAAATGTCTTGATTGGATTGAATTTTCGTAGAAAGCCTTCTTCTGTATTGGCTATAGAGTTTCTTTCCGCCCTTCAACGCTGAATTGCAGATGGTATATTTTTTTCTGACCCGAAATTTCTGCATAAATAGGGATATTTCTTCCTGTCAGTTGGTAGTTTTGATCATTGACAAGGTAGAAAGATAGCTGTTCGTATGCTCTGAATAAATTATGTGGAATATACGGGTGTATAAATAAACTATGTCTTTAGCATTGGCGTACCGAGGATTAACTGTTTGCTATTGCAGCAAAATTATATCTCCCAAAGGTCAATAGATCAAGTGGTGCTGTTATAGACATGTGGATCAAGGTACTGTCTACCTGTTTGTATGTTCTCTTCTCTATATTCTCTCCATTATTTTAGACACTATATTTATATCAATTATGTTGGCAAAACACATACAGGCAAAAGAGCTTGAGGCAAATTCGGACTATTACATTGATCTGTTGGTAAAAGGGACAGGGAAATCAAAGGAAGAAATTACTAAAGATGTTCAGAGGCCTAAGTATCTTCAAGCACAGCAAGCTATAGACTACGGACTTGCTGACAAAATGATTCAGTCAAGTTCAACGGATTCTGCATTTGAGAAGCGGGTAATAATTATTTCTATTTACTATTGATATTCTCTTTAAACATTTATATAATATACTTACGATTACTGTCTGGATCAGAACTATGAGGAAATTCTTGCTCAATCAAGTATGAGGAATCAAGGTGGTGTCGATCCTCAAGCGTCTCCTTCGGGATTCAGGTAATCACACAGCGAAAGGCCACTTAATCGCTCCGAATCCAATGCCCGTCAATGCTATATATATGGGTTTAAGTTGACGACTGGTGTAAAGGTCCAGCAGCTATCTCATCAAAAGGCCAAATTGGAAACTTTCAACGGAGAGATATTATATGAAAATTGTATCTTGGCTGTTGGGTGACTTTTTCAATACTTAAATTACATATGCTTAGTTTGAATAACTTAATGTAAATATTGATTGAGACACATCATGTTTGCTCAGTAGCTGGCATTGTGTCCTTGAAAATTTTTGCTTTGATTTTTCTTGTCCCAGATTAACAATTTCGCAGTAGTTGTTTTGCAATTAAGTGAATGCATATGTGACTTCAATTTATAATTTACAATATACCTACTTGCACGAAGTGCACAGTTTGAAGAAAATCTAGAAAAACAGACTATTAGTTTACTTGTTTTTGGCATTCACAAGAGGGAAGTGAAACACTAAATGAAAAAAAGAAAACCCTGTCAGACATGGCCATCAAGAATTATGCTGGAGGATTGGGATAGACTTTGGGCTTCGGCTTCACCTCAATCTCGTTTACACTACGGACGAAAATAGCATCTGATTCGTTGCTGTGAATGCAATGAACAAAGTTACTTAAACAAGCTCGTATAAGAGAGACAGATAGTTAAGATACAGAACATACCTTTTAGGTCCTTCTTCGAATGTGTAACTTGATGCAACAGCCAACAGGCGTCCATCTCTGCTGAACGACAGTGCAGCAATGCTGGTAGGATATTTCGTGTACTGGAAGAGAAAACGAAAATTTAGAAATTATTACTATATCAAAATTCTGGTCACTCAATTACTCAAACAAAAAGAATATGAAAACCTGGTATAGCCTCTTCTTATTGTTTCCGTCCCACACGTTAACATACCCGTCACAACCACCTGTGGCAAACGTTCCATATCTGCACGGATTTTTATTAAGCATTTTCATGGTGACAATTCAGTCAACGAGTCGTGACCCTAACATGAACAATATGTAATTCCAAAGTTCATTTAAAAGTTAATTATTCACAGCACTTAATCTTTGGAGCTTTTTAAGTTTTAGGAATTTGGTAAAGGAAGAACACAAGAAATTATAACTAAGTTAAAGATTGTGGATATTTATAATACTGTAATACAGAACCCTCATCTTCTAACGCCATGCATTTATTTTACCACGCAAACTGTGAAAAAACATCTATACCCTCTATTTTGGATGACAATATGTACTTATATTACCTTCTTAACAATAAGTTGTATTTATATTTCTCAACTAGATCCTCGAATGAGCTACCGCTATTGACATTGTAAATAGTAGATAGACAGTTAAGTAAAAGCAATTTGAAATACTCTTCACAGAGTGTGTTGTTTTAGAAGTATTTCAAATTCTATGATTTTAAAACACTTACATGGGGTGGTATGCAATTGCATTTACGGGATAGACAATGTCCCTTCCGGCCTCGGATTTTCTGTGACACTTGAAAGCATATCTGCACAAAGGTCATAAATCATTAACAGCTAGAAGTTGATGGATACATGCTATTTTTCCTATGGACTGAAAGACCATCATATGAATGAAAAAGAAGTTCAAAATATCCATATCACAGTATTATTAAGAAGGGAAAACAGAAAAACAAATAAAGAAGTATTTACTTTTTTGCCTGGATAGCTTCTGAGAGGTCAAAGAATTCCATCGAGACACGCCCTTCCACTGAACTAAGTGCATATCCTGCATAATGCAGTTGTACAAATATGAAAGAAAATATTCGATAAAAACACGACAGAGGCCTTGTTAATCATTATTTAAAGTTTTGTTATATTTGAAAATCAACGGTTGAGTTAGTTAAAGTTCACCTGTTCCATTAGGGTAACAGCGCACACATCTAGTTTGATATTTCAATGAAGATTCTCTTTTCTGTTCAGGTTGAGACATGTTCCTCAAATCATAGATATTAACANTTGGAACAAAGGGTTATCGTGCGGTACAACCAAACTCATCTAGTACGAATCACATCTTCGCAAACTTTTGAAAAAAATTGCTTTCACTTATTTGTGTTTTTTTTTTGGAACTTCTGACACAACTATAGTATCCGATTAATCAGTATATTTGAAGAATAGACAAGGGGTTACTGATTTATAATTTTCCCATTATCTCTATTGTCATCACATATTACACTTTTTGATCAACTGGCTACTAATATGCTTGTTAAGAAGTATTTTCCGGAATATCAGTTTATCGAACTCTAGTTCTTAGTATCCTTAGGGCATGGATTGTAGACTTACGATCTGTGTGAACTGAAAGCCCAGTACTCTGCATTAAAACTGTTGGGTTGCCATTGTTGTGATTAAAAGAAACCCTAATTTTCAGGGGCCTAATAAAAGAATTTCGATCTTTATGTAATGCTACAATGCTTTGTGCACAAACGTGGCCTACATGTTCATGGAATGAAAGGCTGCAGCCACAGCAGAACGACTTATTAGTCATGTTTCTTTACCATTGTTGTGTGGGATTTGTATTATTTATTCATCAAGCACAAGTATAACCTATTTTCCTTCATATTTTGACACACTATGGTATTGATTCTGGCCACACATAAAATATAGTTCAGGAAAACATAGAAAAATGTCTTGATTGGATTGAATTTTCGTAGAAAGCCTTCTTCTGTATTGGCTATAGAGTTTCTTTCCGCCCTTCAACGCTGAATTGCAGATGGTATATTTTTTTCTGACCCGAAATTTCTGCATAAATAGGGATATTTCTTCCTGTCAGTTGGTAGTTTTGATCATTGACAAGGTAGAAAGATAGCTGTTCGTATGCTCTGAATAAATTATGTGGAATATACGGGTGTATAAATAAACTATGTCTTTAGCATTGGCGTACCGAGGATTAACTGTTTGCTATTGCAGCAAAATTATATCTCCCAAAGGTCAATAGATCAAGTGGTGCTGTTATAGACATGTGGATCAAGGTACTGTCTACCTGTTTGTATGTTCTCTTCTCTATATTCTCTCCATTATTTTAGACACTATATTTATATCAATTATGTTGGCAAAACACATACAGGCAAAAGAGCTTGAGGCAAATTCGGACTATTACATTGATCTGTTGGTAAAAGGGACAGGGAAATCAAAGGAAGAAATTACTAAAGATGTTCAGAGGCCTAAGTATCTTCAAGCACAGCAAGCTATAGACTACGGACTTGCTGACAAAATGATTCAGTCAAGTTCAACGGATTCTGCATTTGAGAAGCGGGTAATAATTATTTCTATTTACTATTGATATTCTCTTTAAACATTTATATAATATACTTACGATTACTGTCTGGATCAGAACTATGAGGAAATTCTTGCTCAATCAAGTATGAGGAATCAAGGTGGTGTCGATCCTCAAGCGTCTCCTTCGGGATTCAGGTAATCACACAGCGAAAGGCCACTTAATCGCTCCGAATCCAATGCCCGTCAATGCTATATATATGGGTTTAAGTTGACGACTGGTGTAAAGGTCCAGCAGCTATCTCATCAAAAGGCCAAATTGGAAACTTTCAACGGAGAGATATTATATGAAAATTGTATCTTGGCTGTTGGGTGACTTTTTCAATACTTAAATTACATATGCTTAGTTTGAATAACTTAATGTAAATATTGATTGAGACACATCATGTTTGCTCAGTAGCTGGCATTGTGTCCTTGAAAATTTTTGCTTTGATTTTTCTTATCCCAGATTAACAATTTCGCAGTAGTTGTTTTGCAATTAAGTGAATGCATATGTGACTTCAATTTATAATTTACAATATACCTACTTGCACGAAGTGCACAGTTTGAAGAAAATCTAGAAAAACAGACTATTAGTTTACTTGTTTTTGGCATTCACAAGAGGGAAGTGAAACACTAAATNCATATGCTTAGTTTGAATAACTTAATGTAAATATTGATTGAGACACATCATGTTTGCTCAGTAGCTGGCATTGTGTCCTTGAAAATTTTTGCTTTGATTTTTCTTTTCCCAGATTAACAATTTCGCAGTAGTTGTTTTGCAATTAAGTGAATGCATATGTGACTTCAATTTATAATTTACAATATACCTACTTGCACGAAGTGCACAGTTTGAAGAAAATCTAGAAAAACAGACTATTAGTTTACTTGTTTTTGGCATTCACAAGAGGGAAGTGAAACACTAAATAAAAAAAGAAAACCCTGTCAGACATGGCCATCAAGAATTATGCTGGAGGATTGGGATAGACTTTGGGCTTCGGCTTCACCTCAATCTCGTTTACACTACGGACGAAAATAGCATCTGATTCGTTGCTGTGAATGCAATGAACAAAGTTACTTAAACAAGCTCGTATAAGAGAGACAGATAGTTAAGATACAGAACATACCTTTTAGGTCCTTCTTCGAATGTGTAACTTGATGCAACAGCCAACAGGCGTCCATCTCTGCTAAACGACAGTGCAGCAATGCTGGTAGGATATTTCGTGTACTGGAAGAGAAAACGAAAATTTAGAAATTATTACTATATCAAAATTCTGGTCACTCAATTACTCAAACAAAAAGAATATGAAAACCTGGTATAGCCTCTTCTTATTGTTTCCGTCCCACACGTTAACATACCCGTCACAACCACCTGTGGCAAACGTTCCATATCTGCACGGATTTTTATTAAGCATTTTCATGGTGACAATTCAGTCAACGAGTCGTGACCCTAACATGAACAATATGTAATTCCAAAGTTCATTTAAAAGTTAATTATTCACAGCACTTAATCTTTGGAGCTTTTTAAGTTTTAGGAATTTGGTAAAGGAAGAACACAAGAAATTATAACTAAGTTAAAGATTGTGGATATTTATAATACTGTAATACAGAACCCTCATCTTCTAACGCCATGCATTTATTTTACCACGCAAACTGTGAAAAAACATCTATACCCTCTATTTTGGATGACAATATGTACTACTTATATTACCTTCTTAACAATAAGTTATATTTATATTTCTCAACTAGATCCTCGAATGAGCTACCGCTATTGACATTGTAAATAGTAGATAGACAGTTAAGTAAAAGCAATTTGAAATACTCTTCACAGAGTGTGTTGTTTTAGAAGTATTTCAAATTCTATGATTTTAAAACACTTACATGGGGTGGTATGCAATTGCATTTACGGGATAGACAATGTCCCTTCCGGCCTCGGATTTTCTGTGACACTTGAAAGCATATCTGCACAAAGGTCATAAATCATTAACAGCTAGAAGTTGATGGATACATGCTATTTTTCCTATGGACTGAAAGACCATCATATGAATGAAAAAGAAGTTCAAAATATCCATATCACAGTATTATTAAGAAGGGAAAACAGAAAAACAAATAAAGAAGTATTTACTTTTTTGCCTGAATAGCTTCTGAGAGGTCAAAGAATTCCATCGAGACACGCCCTTCCACTGAACTAAGTGCATATCCTGCATAATGCAGTTGTACAAATATGAAAGAAAATATTCGATAAAAACACGACAGAGGCCTTGTTAATCATTATTTAAAGTTTTGTTATATTTGAAAATCAACGGTTGAGTTAGTTAAAGTTCACCTGTTCCATTAGGGTAACAGCGCACACATCTAGTTTGATATTTCAATGAAGATTCTCTTTTCTGTTCAGGTTGAGACATGTTCCTCAAATCATAGATATTAACATGTCTTCCAGCTGTTGCTACAACCAGGCGATTTCCAACCAGAGAGAGAGAGTAAACACGCTCAGGCTGTGGATATGTCCCAACGAGTGTGCGCTCTTGGCCACTTGTACCTCTAGGGTCCCAGCATTTCAGGGTTTTGTCCCAACTACCAGTGATCAATTGCCCTGTGGTGTTACAGACAAGATAGAAGTAAACGTGAAATATCCTTTTAAGAATAATTCCCCGGAATTAAGTGACATAAGAACATAGATGAGATGAGTTTAACATCATAGAGATCGGAAGGAGAGACCTGCAGCATAGGAGTACTCAACACAACGAACAGGCGCATCATGCCTTCCTAGGATATCCTCTTTATTAGAGCTGAAGAAAAGCCTGGAGCATAATCATATAAAGGGTGAATTACTCTCTTCACGGCTTTGAGATGCATAAATTACAGTTTATCTTCCCTTAATTTAAAATTTACAATTCGCTCTCTAAACATACATGAATTGTGTTACATTTTAGTCCATTCTAGAATCAGTTTGGTAGGAAGGAAAAAAAAAAGATGAAAATATGAAAAGTGAATGAAAACAAGACATAAAATGAGAATACAAATATTTTATTTTAGAAAAGAAATAGATTAAAATAACTGCTGAGCCTTGCAACTTTTAATTTTTCTTTTCTTTTATTTCTCCTCAACCAAATATAAAAATTAATTTTACATCTCTCCTCTCCTCTGTATTCCCCATTTACCCAACAAAGGCTAAATGTAAACTATCCTCAAAGTGGTAACAGACAACTACAAAGAAATCTATATCCATATGGCCCTTTTGTGTTAGAACATATCCTATGGAGAAATATTTCAATAAACACTTCTAAAAAACATGAAATTAATTTAAGTTAAAATTAATTCATTTATAAGATAATATGTAACAGTTATTTTCTAAAAGTTTTATCAAGATTTATTTTATAATTGATGTATAAAATAATTTTAATTTATAAAACATAAATTTCATTTTTTTTTCTTAGAAATATCGACGAAGAAGTTAAGATAGGCTCAATTTCTACTAAGAGTTAATTTTGAACTTTGGATTATCAAATTTTGGAATTTAGAAGATAAATGATGCCTTATATGCAGATAGCATTATGGGGCTTTAAACATCTAGTTTACAGGCCAAACAAGAATGAGAACAATCTAAGACAAGTTTGAAATTGAAGAGAAAGAGTGTGACCGTCTAACAGTGTTGTCGGCGGCGACACTGAAGCCGGAGGAATCGTCGTGGAAGCAGCAATCGAGAACGGGGCCAGCGTGCATGAACTCTCCTCTCAACACATTGGCGCTCGCTTCGTACAATCTCACACTCTGAATCACGCAAACACCAATGAAGGCAATAAAATTGATAGCATACATAGCATAGCACAGGAAGTACGTAATTGATAAGTGAGAAGGAGGAGTATGCATAGAATACATACCTTGTCCCATGAGGAGACCAAAAGATTATCGCTGTGATTTGAGAATCGGAGATTCGTTATTCCGTCCGATGGAGGATTCGACAACTCTTGCCCCGCCGCGGCGGCCACCGCAGAAGCCATGTCTGCGATTTGTTGAAATTTGAAAGTTGAAGGGGTTGAAGTGAGAGTGAATTAAAGAAAAAAGAAGTGACCCTTTATTCAAATTTCAAATCTTAGGAGCCACGCATTCATCTTAACGTCATATGTTCCAATGGGGTTTACTAAAATGTAACTTGATAATAAATCAGGATAGGTAATAACATATAATTAAATCTAATTCCCACGTGTAATAAATTAGTTGATTCGAGAAATAATTTAATTTTATGTATACACAAGTTTTCATACTACAGGAAATCGTAATTTTTGAAGCATTATTGAAAATACGTGTCAAATTTTGTTTAGTGTGTGTTCTTAATAAAATTACAAATAAAATTAATAATAAAGGAATAATATTTTTTTTACCAATTTTAAATAAAATAAAATATTAAAATTAAGAAACATATATATCATAGACGATATCATGAAAGGATGATAAAAATAATTTTAAGACAATGATTATATAAATATTTTCCACTATCTCAGTCTACATTTAGTTAAATTCTTTTTTGTTTACATAAAAAGGCAGTTGCATCTCATCAAATTTATTCTCTCACCCTTCCGGAAAATGCTTTCCCTAGAAGGAGGAAATGTTTGACTTCCATAAAAAAATTCCTGAATTGTTTATTCTATTCCGAAAATTAAATTCAAGAAATGATGGGGTACAGGAAGTAATCCGGCCCAATAGAGAATGCACCAGTAGAGAATGCAGTGGCCCATATTACTAACCCGGGCCTGTAAGCTTTTTTTTTTATATTTTTTCTTCACCTGTTTTTGCAAATAATTAATTAACAGAAGAAAAAAAAAATGTGAAGGAAAAGAAAAACTCAAACGGATCTGAATTGCAAACATAGGAGGGGGTTTTGTTTCGGAGTGAACTGAGCCTATTATCAACACAAACAACATTTTCAGTGAATCAACACGAGAAAAAGAGAGAAAAAGATTATTGTCTACGTGATTTCGATTATTTGATCATGCTCTTCGCTTCAATTCCCCTTTCTAAATCCTCTTGATTTTCTTTTTCCGAACAACATCAGATTCGATTGAATTATACCCCTCAATGCAATGGTGGTCTGCAAATGTCGCAAGGTTCCGTTCGTTTTCTCTTTCTTTGCATACAGTTCGGCTCCTTTTTCTTTCTCTTTCCAAAACCCTGATTTGTGTTTTCCCAATCACGATTGATTTGTTTGCTGGGTGTGTAGATCCGATTGGTATTGTCTATTCAGATCAATCGCGGGTGATCTACGTGCTCTTGCATTTTTGCGTGATTTGATTTTTATTTTCATTTGAATATGCATTTAGGTGATGGAAACGGGTGCTTTCACTTGAGCATAAAATTGATACAAGTGATTTGTCTTTACTTGTT